GATGATTGATTACAAGCAGAAGAGTGGCATGTGATGAGGCTGGGGAGGTTGGCAGGAGAAAGAAGTTTAGATTTCACTCCAAAAGCAGTAGAAAGCCACTGAAAAGTTTCTACACTGAGAGAGGAATGATGGTGCTGGGGTTTTAAAGAATCACTTTAGCAGCTGCACCGTAAAACCAGTTAAGAAGTGACTGCTATGTAGTTGAGATAATAGTAATTTGAATAAGAGTAGTAGCCATAAAGATGAAGAGAAGTGCTCTCAAGTTCTTTTTGAGAGGCAGAACAAGCAAGACCAAAGGAAGGGGACTTAAGAGGTGAGTGAAAGGGAGGAGTCAGCAATGTAATTCAAGTTTCTGGCTTTAAGGACCAGGTGAAGGAGGATGCCATTTACCAAAATACAGAACCAACAAATTAAGAATGAATTGACATATAAATCCTTATGTACTGACTCAACAATATGCTTAAATAAATCCTTGAAGCTTTCAATTCAGTTTTTCTGTAGTTATTGCCCTTGCATCTAAGTGTGCACAACATCAGGTTCCTGGCTATAAACATAACCAGTTAATTAAATAGAGTTTATTTACCTTCAAACTACAATTTGTTACATTATATTCTTCTCTTACTAGTATTAATTCAAAACTGAAGACACTTCCTTTCATTCACATCCAGTGTCTCTTCCACCCACTCAAGATTCTGTCCATTCTTCTAGTACTTAGAAGTATGATCATTTAGTTAAAACAAATAACATGAGGCCGGGCGCGGTGGCTCAAGTCTGTAATCCCAGCACTTTGGGAGGCCGAGGCGGGTGGATCACGAGGCCAACAGATCGAGACCATCCTGGTCAACATGGTGAAACCCCGTCTCTACTAAAAATACAAAAAATTAGCTGGGCATGGTGGTGCGTGCCTATAATCCTAGCTACTCGGGAGGCTGAGGCAGGAGAATTGCCTGAACCCAGGAGGTGGAGGTTGCGGTGAGCCGAGATCGCGCCATTGCACTCCAGCCTGGGTAAAAGAGTGAGACTCCGTCTCAAAAAAAAAAAACAAATAACATGAAACTTAAAACAATAAAATATGTATCACCCATTAAATTAGTCAGTGTTTGTAAGGGGGATGAGGGTAGGGAAAGAGGTACTCCTATATTTGGCCAGTGGAGGCATATCTTGTTGCTACCTCTTGCAGGACAAGTTAGCAGTATGTATTTAAAAGCCTGAGACATTTATTCCTCAGTTATTTCTCTTTAAAATTTTTATCCTAAGAAAATACATGTGACTGTTTTAAAAGGTATACCAACAAGGCTGTTCATCATGGTACTCTCTATGATTATGAGTATTTGGAAAGAAAACGTCTAAAGATAAAGAGTTTGCTTTTATAAAAACTATAATATAATCCATTAAATTAAACAAAAGGCAACATTCAAAATGTGGTAGAAAAATATGTGATGTTGATCTCAAGAGTCTGTTAAACAGAAGAAAAATATATGGTGACATTAGAAAATGCTAATGTTGCCGGGCACAGTGGCTCAGCCTGTAATTCCAGCACTTTGGGAGGCCAAGGCGGGCAGATCGTTTGAGACCAGCATGTTTAACATAGTGAAACCTCATCTCTACTAAAAATACAAAAATTAGCTGCACATTGTGGCTTATGCCTGTAATCCCAGCTACTCAGGAGGCTGAGGCAGGAGAATTGCTTGAACCTGGGAGGTGGAGGTTACAGTGAGCCGAGGTTGTGCCACGGCATTCCAGCCTGGGCAAAAGAACTAGACTCCATCTGGGGGCAGGGGGAAGAAAATGTTAATGTTATAAAACAATGTCTATGAAAGAATATATTTTATGTATAAAACGCTTAGAAAATGGATTGTAAGGATTTATATCAAGATGGTAACAGTGGTTAATTCTATAGGTAATATAATAGGGTGATTTTTTTTTTTTAACAATAGTATGTATCAATTCTAAGATAAGAAAAAGTTATAGGCCAGGAATGGTGGCTCACGCCTGTAATCCCAGCACTTTGGGAGGCTGAGGTGAGCAGATCACCTGAGGTCAGGAGTTCAAGACCAACCTGGCCAGCATGGTGAAACCCCGTCTCTACTAAAAATACAAAATTAGCCAGGCATGGTGGCGCGTGACAGTAATCCCAGCTACTCGAGAGGCTGAGGCAGGAGAATAATTTAAACCTGGAAGGCGGAGGTTCCAGGGAGCTGGGATCGTGTCATTGCGCTCCAGCCTGGACAACAAGAGCGAAACTCCATCTCAAAAAATAAAAAAGAAAGAAAAAAAGAAAAAGTTATAAACATAAAAACAAAACAAAACAAGCAGTGGGTTTCCCACTTAGGTTTGAGCCATTTCAATGATCTTAGTTAAAGTTGCTTAGTATGAGTAAACTAGCCCACTTAAACAATATTTACAACATGAAAGTGAGATTGGCAAAATAAATACAGCATATGTACCACTCCTTGAAAGTCAACAAACCCATTACTTAAAGAACCAAACAGGACATGAATTCCTGAAACAAGATTCCAGAAACAAGAATCATGGTCTGAAAATATTCTGAGCTTTCCACAGTGTGGGCTGAAAAAAATGGAGACCTAAAATGAGGATACATTCTCAGTAACAGAATGGTTAATGAGAATGAAGCAGCACCAGCATAAGTACATCAAAAACTGCTCTTTTGGCTGGGTGCGGTGGCTCAAGCCTGTAATCTAGCACTTTGGGAGGCCAAGGTGGCAGATCACCTGAGGTCAGAAGTTCGACACCAGCCTGGCCAACATGGTGAAACCCCTCTCTACTAAAAATACAAAAATTAGCTGGGCATGGTGGCACACGCCTATAGCCAGCTACTTGGGAGGCTGAGGCAGGAGAATCGCTTGTACCTGGGAGGCGGAGGTTGCACTGAGCTGAGATCATGCCACTACACTTCAGCCTAGGTGACGGGGAGACTCCGTCTCAAAAACAAAACAAAACAAAACAAAACAAAACAAAACTGCTCTTTTACTTTTTGTTGTGACTACTGCAAGTTAATTCCTAAGATGTCAAATTCAGTTGATAACCAG